GCCACATGGATCTGTGAGTACTTTCTCTTTTTATCATGTGATGACGGCTAGTTCCTATCCACATATACACCCAAACTTCAAGTCTTTCACTTTCAGCTGGAGTGCAGGTGTGTCAAATGCAGGTATCCCCAACTGCACACAGTCCAGTTCTTCACTCAGGGGTTGAAGCTTCTGAACGCTCTCCACACATTTTAAATAATGTTATTTCTAAAGGTAAATGTGAAATAAAAACAGGCAAGGATGGAAGTTTTCCAGTGGAAAAACACAGAATTAAGGCTGTGTGCAGTTTCCTGGCATGCAATATAACCCTGCGTATCGGTACTCTCTATGTCCTATCAACGAGTCTTCCCATGAACCAAAGCGCTTGCTGGTTTGGGACGGAGAAGCCTGCTGTTCACCCACAGCACCTGAAACAGTATGAAGCAGATCTGAAGATTAAAGGTTTTTCATCATTTTATTTATTTTACCATACGGGTGTTTGTCTGTATGTTATATTTGTGCACATGTTGTGTGCTTTGTTCTTAGAGGTCAGAAGAAGTCACTAGATCCCCTGGAATTGGAGTTACAAACAGTTGTGAGTTGCCACCATGTGAGTGCTGGGAATCAACCCAGGTGCTCTGGGGAGCAGCCAAGGTTCTTAACTACTAAGCCATCTATCTCTCTGGTCCCCTGTGGGTTAAAGTTAGAAGTCTGCCATTCACACACAGCACCTGGAACAGTCCAAGGTAGACCCGTGGGTTGAAGTATGACTGGCTGTCTTCTCATGTCTCTCCTCTTCAAACAATAAAGTCTCTCTGTATATTCTCTAGCAAAGAGCGTGCGAGTGGGGCCAGAATTCAGGAAAGAACAAAGAAGCTTTGCGAAAACATTTAGAAACATGCTCACTCTTCTCAGACAAGGCCATGATAATCTTGTATGTATCACTGGCGCCTGGGTGGAAGATGGCAAAAGCAAATAGAAAAATGCTCTAATGAAGGTGCCAGACTTTCCCGCACTGGCTCGATGTTCGCGATCACTATGTTAGCGCACTTGACAGAGTGGGTGGGATGCCAGCACAGCAAAGGAAACAGCGCAGCTACGATTCCCAGGGCCACACTGAATTAACCGAGAAGAGAGCGAAGAACTCAAAGTATGAAGTTAGGAAAATCCACACATTTCAGAACACCTTTACACTAAGGTTCTGTTTAGGACTTGTGTGTGTGTGTTCTGTGGCTATATGCCTGCAGAGGCTAGAAAAGCGTACAGAATCCCTGGAAATGTAGTTACAAAAACAATGTTGGGACACAAAGAGCAGTCCTCTGGAAAGGAGGAAGTGCTCTCAATCCCTGGGCCACCCTCCAGCCCAAAGACTGAGAAACAGCAGCAGCAACCACAAAAAACAAACAGAAAATAAAAACAAATGGCCACCACGGTTAAGTAGAAAAGCCAGTATAAGGCTATCATGATGGCTCAGGTGAAAGGGCTCACCACATTAGCTCGATAAGTTGAGCTTGATCCCTGGAGCCCAATAGTAGGAGAGAACAGTCTCCTAAAAGTTGTCTTCTGACCTGACATGCATTAGGTGAACTCAAGTGTTCTCTCTCCTCTCTCTCTCTCTCTCACACACACACACACACACAGAGAAAAAAAAGAGAAGAGACAGAGAGAAAGAAGAGAGAGAGAGAGAGAGAGAGAGAGAGAGAGAGAGAGAGAAAGAAAGAGAAAGGGGGTGGGGACCAGATCGGAAGGCAAAGCTTTTGAGGACTGGAACTCTTAACCTCATTCCCTAACTAAGAGATATTTGAATGTCTGAAAAAATGCAAACACTGGGGCTGGAGAGATGGCTCAGAGGTTAAGAACACTGGCTCGTCTTCCAAAGGTCCCAAGGTCAATTCCCAGCAACCACATAGTGGCTCATAACCATCTACAGAGAGATCTGGTGTGCAGACAGAATGATGTATAAAGAATAAATAAAACCTTTAAAAAAATGCAAACACTGGGCTAACTAAACCCAAAGGCTCTACCTACACACCTCTCCACACATACAAAGGTGCTTTTGACTTCCTTCCACTCCTCACTGGTAAACTTCCTCAACCACCGCTAACAGTAAGAAACTGGCAACCAGGGAGTAAATGAACTCAAACAGCAAGTTAGCAAAAGAAATCAAAATTCCAAATCCCATTTCTTGGATTAAAAAAAACTATTAAAGTTCCTTCTAATAAACAACCACAAGTGTACCAAGGGAGAGCCCTTACATCCTACAGCAAACAGGCCATTCATCACAGACACTGAAGACTGGGTTTTAATGTGATGTTCTCACATTCAATAATCAAGGATCCCAGAGAGCCATATAAAGAAGCTTAAAATGACTTATTTGTGGAAAAAGAATATGGCCATACATGGCAGTGCATGCCTGTAAGAGCAGCACTCAGGAAGCAGGGACAGGAGAAGTGCCGCTGTCTACACAGTGAGTTCAGGCCAGCTGAGACCTAGTCAATGAAAGGGGGTTGTTTAAAAACAAACACAGAAACTGAACACAATAGGGATACATCTGATTTTCAAATCTCACTGATTCTTAATTGATAAACTGGTCTTTAAACCCCACTACAAAGTACTCAAAAATAGAAAAATTAGTGCAAGGAGACGGGCATCTGAAAGCCAGCCTCTGTGGATAGGCATGGGAACTACAGGTCTGACCATGTTTATATTCCACGACCCCGGAGAAAGTGGTGAAGCACTCTCAGAATTTGTTATCAGGGCTGTAAGATTACTCAAGAACCAGCAAAGATTCCCAGTTTCTGAAACCTGACTCAACAGGAATTAGACATATGGGAAAATTTAACCATGCCTCCAAATGGGACCCAAGACAAAGACTGCTCTGAGTTCCTCCACATAAACTTTCGTTATTTTATAAATACACATACATTATATGTGTACATATTTACTACTAAAAACATTAAAAAATATAAACACAACCCATTAAGAACTGAATAGGACCCCACCGCATTAAAACTTATTTACTCTTCAGAAGAAAATGAAAAGACAAACCATAGATTTTAGGGGGGGGAACCTACAGAGAAAGTTCTTCCAGAATATATAACTACTTCTCAAACAGAGTGATAGAAAACTAGTGAGCGGATGGAAACAGGAGCAGCCATCTGCAGCCCCTCAGCACCCTCACACACCACACACACCAGTCCTCCATACACAAACACAGAGCAGGCACAGTCGCCAGCATGAAAATTCAAATTAGGAAAATAAAGTCAAATCACCCTGAGATGCCAGCACACAAGCATCAGGATCACTATAAAACATGTCAATGATGTAAAAAACTGAAACCTTCCTGTATCACATTCAAAAAAATTCATCTTACTCTTAGACCCAGTCATTCCACCCCTAGGAATCTACCTCAGAAATATGAAAACACGTTCCCAGAAATATCCACGCCAATGCTCACAGCTGAATTAATCATAAAAGTAAAAGACTGGGAATAATTCACATGCGTATCAGTAGGTAAACAGACAGCTCAAATGTGACATAGACGCCTAAGTAGTATTATCACTCATCCATAAAAAGAAGCTACTGAGACTTGTTTAAAAAAAAAAAAAAAAAAAACAAAACAACCGAACAACATTATACCAGGCTGCAAGTCTACTTATTGCGTAATTCAATATATATAAGATATTTTTAAGGGGCAAATTGTAGACACAGAGAGTAGACTAATGGTTGCTTATGACTAGCATTCAGCTCCAAGTGTGAAGAAGGAAGCATTCTGAGGGGACAAAAATGTTCTGCTCTACATTATGATAACAGCTTTGTAGCTCTGTAGAGTTTATTTTAAAAAGGCTGCTGAGATGTCAAAAATATTGAATGGAAGGACGCCTTCCATGAAAGTTAAATTATGAAACAGTAAAGAGGGACTGAGTTCAAGGCCATGCAACAACTCAGTGTTAGCTATCATGAATAACATGATTCGGGGTAAGCCTTACACCAAGAATTCTGCAGTTCAAACACTAGAGGTGCAAGGCTTCTAGGCGACCACGAGACACCCTGATAAGTGGTTTAGGAGCTCAGGCATGGCAAGTTACACACCAAGACTTCACAAAACACACTTAGAACCTCTAAAACCAATAAATCCTGTCTGACTTTAGTAATTTTGTGTTGTGGTTCATTATCTGCTTTCTTAACCCCTCCTGATTTAGTCCAGTTCCATGCACCCCTCCCCCACAACTGGCTCTAATACTGTTTCTTAGGAAAACCACTTCCTTAGATTATTTCATAAGAAACTAGCGAAGTATTGCTTTCATGTTTAATAATTCCTTACCTCCTTCCTAACAGGTGTAAAAGACAGAGGCTGCTCAGTGTTAAAGAACATGGGACAGACCACTGAAAATTCCTCTTGAAAAAGTCATCAGAAATGAGCATTGCAATGGATCACAGGGCTGAGGTGGCAAACTGGGCAATGACTGGGTAAGAAAAGCAGCAGGACACCTACCTGCCCACATGCACACATACATGTAAACATGTATAATTCAGAGATGCTCTCGGGTGGAAATCTGAAATGCCCACACTGATTTTAGCACTGGTGTAACAGCACATGTGGAAACTCCACAGCTGACTACACGCCAACAGCTCACAGAAGCATGTAGGCACACTAAAAATACCACGGAAATCACCTTTAGGCTGTGTGTATAGGTATAGGTAGGTGGATGTGCATGTGTGCACAAATTATTAATGTATGTAAATATTTCAGCTTCTGAGAGAAATGTGAAACAGCTTTGGTGCCAAACATCTCAAATACAAGGTTATGTGTACTGATTTTCAAATATTCAAATTCATTAGCACAAGAGCTACATTTTATTTTCCCAAACTGAACTGACTTCTTGTTTTGTTACAAATGTTATAAAACAAAAGAATTTCCCTTAAAAGGTAAGAAAAACTCTTTCTAAAATGCCAAACACTCAATCAAAGGTTCAGACGAGAAAACGACAGCCATGTGCTGTGGCTGTTACGTGCCTTACCTTCAGGGGCGACTGCGGAAGGACAGACTTCTTTGAGGAGATCTCCAAGTGTATGCAGCTGTCCATCTGCAGCCACAGGACGGAACAGCTTCTGAATGAAAGGTCGCTCAGTTGTGGTCTATTTGAAAAATAAAAACAACCCAAGCAAGTAAGTCTTTGTTGCTGTAGCTGCTAACTGCAGACACACAGATTACAAGCAGGAACCTGGCATCAGTGTCTACTGATGTGGCCTATCCATAAATACACAGGATGATCCTAAGTATCACTAATGTGATATCATGGGGGGTAACATAATAAATGCTCGTAAATCAGATTCATGCAAGTACGAAATGTCAGACACTCTTAAGTGATACGATACAATCACCAGACACAGAAATGAACCCCGGGCTACTACTGCATAAAAAGCACTTTTTTTTTTTTTTTTTAAAGGGGCTAGAGATATGGCTCAGGGGTTAAGAGCACTGGTTGTTCTTGCAAAGAAGCAGGGTTTAGTTCACAGCACCCACAAGGCAGCTCACAACCACCTGTCACTCCTGTTTCAGGGGATTTAACACCTTTTCTGGCATCCATGGGTACCAGGCATGCAAGGGTTCATTCACAGACACACAGGCAAAACGCCCACACGCATTTTTGCTGTAACTTTTTTTAAATCTTTAAAAAGAAGCTTTTTAATGAGTCTATTGTAAGAGAGTTATGGGTCAAGTGGAACAACAGACATCTGATAACAATGAATTCACATCACACGTCCAAGATTTGACAGAGATAACGATTTCAGTGCCAGGTGAGGCATAACCCCCTTGTGAGTAACTTGTCAAGAAGGCCCCAGAAACCACTAAACAACACAGGCTACTGCCATTGCTCTTGGTTGCCCACCAGAACTAAGATAGTAAAGCCATATTGCTAAAAACACCACACACTTTGGTTGCAGGACACAGAGAAATCAATTTGGAACTGACCTGGAGATTCCTCCCTGCTGGCTAGCTTTCCTAGTGCTGGAAGGCGCTACACAGGCCACTGGGGGAGAAAAACCATCAACAGTATTACCCAGGGGTGGTCCCTGCTTGTGACAATGCTGACCTGCCAGACAAGACATGCCCAAGACGTTGAGATAATGGTGTGACTCTTACGGGGTAACCAAGTGCTTTCTGACGAGACCTGAGGCCTGCTCTATAGGGAGGAAATCAAGCCTGACTATAAACCTGGTCAAAATCCCCTGGCTGGGAAGGCCACCAGCCACCCCACTATTGTTGTCTTGCTAAATGGCCACACTGTTGGTTTCTACACTTTTCTATTTACACCTATGGGTAAGTGCCGCTCTAAACTGCGGTCAAGAAGCTTCTTGCAGTAGGTGGGGATACAGAGCACTGAGACTAAGTACTGACTGTTCGTTCCTAAATAGGATGTTTGTATAAACCCTCAGAGAACTCACAGAAGTGTGTGTGTGTGTGTGTGTGTGTGTGTGTGTGTGTGTGTGTGTGCGCGGGGGGGGGGGCGGGAAGGGGAGTGTTAAGGGTCAGACAGTGCAGAGGAATGCAGTGAAATGCTTCCTCTGGATATAACATGGATGGTGTACTCGTGAACACACAGCAGCTAAGGGTACCTGCATAAGATCAAGCCAATCAACGTTACAGCATGGATGCGGGAGGGGCTCAGGAGGTCCCACCCAGGGCTGAGGAGCTATTGACAGCTGCTGGCTGCAGAGAGTCATTATTCTTCAGGTGTGTGGTTGACGGCAGGCTGCCCATGCCCTAGTGAATGGCCCCACACCTCTATGCATACCAGTAGTATTATCTGGACTGAGTTTCTTTAAAATCAAAAGAAGGAAATAGAAGAAAAAAAAAAGATGGGAAATGCTGGGATTTGGACTGGGTATGATCAAGGTAACTCTGCATTCATATTAAATTGTTCAAGAATAAGTAAAAATATTCTTTAAAACAAACACCCAAAACAAAAGAACCCTGGTTGACTACCTCACCGAAAAGGAAACTGGTAGGTTATCATTGTGGTGGTGCCATGAGCTGATTCAGGACAAGGCGGAGTGTAGAAAATCAGATTTACTGGGAGCAGCTCACATAGGGCTCATTGTCCCAGAGAAGTCATCACACAGGGGGAGACAGAAAAGTACTTGGTCGCAGAGAGAGAGGGGAGAGACAAAGACACAAAGACACAAAGACACACACACACACACACACACACACACACACAGAGAGAGAAAGGAAGAGAGGGAGAGAGGAAATGCAGAAAGAAGGGAGGCGGGGACACCAAAACATTTGGAGTATGTACTGAAGGGTAGAGGAAGCCCCTGCTTCTGGGCTGGAAAGTTCAGTGTAAAGGGTAGCGCATATCAGCCAAGTCCTGGAACAGGCAGGGATTGAGGATGCTAGGAGAACCTGAAGGTCAGGTCTGCATTGGTTGAAAAGGCACCTTAACTGCTTGTCTGGGTCTGAAGCTCAAGAGAAACTTCTTATAGAGTCCACCATCAGAGTGGTGGGGTGTGAGGGGCAACAGACATCTGATAACACTGAATTCTTACTAAACGTCTAAGGTTTGACAAAGTATCAGGGTAATTACTACAGCAGAATTTATTCCTAATACTCGCCTTACTTTTACCCACTTTTAAGAGCATTTTCTTTTCCTCAGGGACCAGAGTATAGAATCTCTGCAATCAGGTAGCTCAGGTGTCCTGGAACCGCCCACCCTGCCTCTGCTCTGCCTCATGAGTGCTGGGATTACTGTGGTGTGCAACAACAGCTCAACAACCTCCATCTCCTCTAGGACTGTGCCAAGCACAAATTAAGAGAATGAAAAATGTTCCTTTTCACTCTTAACTGTTAGTCCATTTTTTGATGATAAGTCTTAATTTTAAGCCTCCAGATGTGAAAAATCACAAAAAATAAGCCTAATTTAAGACTATAACTTCAAATACCCACACAAAAAAGATAAACCTTTGGGGGGAAATATATATATATATATATATATATAGGCTTTTAGTCAGAGGGCACTCTCAGTCTTTTTGAAATAGCTACCACTTTAAGAACGAAAATAAAACATGAGAAAAAACATGTAAATGTGAGCAATTCAGTGGATATGTAACAAATGCTAAAAACTGTATGTGAACAATATAACTGATAATTTGGGGCAATCATAAACATAAAGTGTACAAAACAAAAGGTCAGCAACACTGTGTCAAAAAGAATTTGGGTCCCTTCACTAACTGGCTTACACAGGGGTTTTAAAATTTACTGTTATCTTTTTATTTATAAAGCCTATAGTTTAGTGCACACATTAAAAAAAAAAAAGGATCCTGTCCAAGTAACTGACTAACTATGCAAAGATAATAAAGTTAGTGGTGCCCCAGAAGCAGAGAAATGAAAAGGGACTAAGGCATTCACTTAAAATCACCACCAACCACTTAGAGCGTCTGTCTTTCAGGTCACCAAGAGGCTTTTAAGAGTTTTCGGTGAAGGAAGTGACATGATGAAAGATGCTTTTTCTCCAGACTAATGCAAAGCAGTGCGGGGACAGCCCAGGCAGGAGATGAAATGAGGACGGGTGGCAGTTGGCTGTAGAAAACGAGCCTTGGAGAGACAGCCTGGACAGGGCGGGGGTAGGGAGGTTAGGGTGTACAAGGGCAGCAATGCATTCGCAAGCAAATGTACTAGCTGGAGCAGAAATCAGTAATGCCCTAGTAAACTCTACAGGGTTCAGATCTCACTCATACCTAATTAGCAGCAGAAATGTGAATTACAATAAAATTACCTAAAAACAGGCTAAAAGGAAAAGCCAAAATAGTCATGGTGACATGTAAAAAAAAAATTCTAATTCCAATACTGAAAAAAAAATGGCCTGTTATTTCTCAGTGTAGCTCCTGTTTTCACTCTCCCCATAACAGTAAAGGTAAACTTTTCACAATAATACACCTTAACTCAATACCATAAAATGGTAACCTAGATGATTCACCAAAGGGAAGTGGTGCTTGCATCTATCATAGATAAACTACAAAAGAAAAAGCCGACCAAACACAGCCAAGTAGACCAACCAATACTGCTTTTATGTTGACAGGATAACTCTAGCTTGTTCCAGTCAATTTACTAGACCTTCTCTAGTAAATGAGAAATTAGAAAACATACAGACTGTGTAAAAGGCACATTCTCACAAAGTAAGATCAAGTGTGAGTTTCAGGCATTTACGTGACAAAAAAAGTTAAGGTATTGTCAAAGAGTACAGACTCTGATATGATAGAGCTAGACGGCAGCTGTCATTCATTACAGAACCACAGGCACAATGAACCAACTTCTCTGAAAGTAAACATACAAACGCACATGGGTGTGCACAAATGAGAGTAAAACATTCCGCCCTGCAGAGAAGCTCGAGCAAGAAGGTAAGCAATTCAAAATAGCTTTAGGAAGTCCCTGAAACTGACCAGATTTACTAGGGCTCTTCCTGCCCCAGTAAACAGGAACAGCTGAGAGTCACTCTCCTTAAAGGGAAGCTGAGCTACAAAGACCTTCAGACAAGCTGAGTTGCAAAAATGACTTTGAGACCAGACTGTCTGGAAGGGGTTTGGACCAACTGAGGCACTTGGAAAGGGTTCTCTCTAACTTGTTGAGCTGCCTAGAGGCTCTTCAGAGTGCTCGGGGTTCCCAGCTTTTGTGAACTGTCACTCATGCTGGTGTAGGCACTGGTGATACAGCGGTCTTTGAGTCATTTCTGCTCCCGTAAGTAACCCCTCCTCCATACACCTCTTAATAACCCCAATAAAACTTCCTGGTTCATGAACTTGGACTTTGATGGTGCCCATATTTTGGTCTGCCATGGATCCCTATCTGGGGTGAGCAGACATGTGTGTTGTGTCTCCCCAGAAAAATTTTTGTCATGTAACAATAATGCTAAGGATAGTGGAACTAAGAAAGTTTTAATTCAAAGGTAAGCAAGAACAGGGTCTCCTAAGATTTCTCTTAGGCATAACCTAATGATCAGAGGGGCCTGATTTATTAAAGTCCGGGCAGAATTTCCTAACAGTAGTCATCCAAAGGTTTAACTTCTCTCAGGTATTAGAATAACTATGCTTTAAATAAATAAATTAAAAAAACCTGTAAGCATGCCCAATTCTGCACA